ATATCTCTCTTCTCACTGGAAGATAGAAAAGAGCGATAGACGTTCACAATAGGAGGGACACTCTAACGCGATACCATATTTGTTCATCAAAATTTAAGGAGCCTAATCTTTTTCGCGAAATGCCACGATTGTCTCGCTAATGCAATTGTGTATGTTCGATGGCGAAATTGTCACATCGAATTTTTACCGATCATTTTATGCATACGGCGATAGTCTGTAGAGACACGCGGTACGCTTTATAGGAGGCACCGTCGTGAGCATATCAAGTGGCACCAAACGGACTTCGACGTAAATCGGACTTCTACGTAATTCGATTTTACAACTTCCTCGAGAATCGGCTCTTTCATCGAATCCGATTGAACGTTCGATTGTCTTTCTAGAGTCTTACCCCTTCCGACGTGTGCTGCGACTGCAAAACGCCGGAATCAGCATAATCCATTTGCCAGTGAACCTGTATACCTTCTAAAAGAAAAATATTCACACGCAAGGTTTATATTTTTCAGAATCAAATTAAATTCGCATTAAAAGTCTGTCTGCCTAAATCGAATCCGATTTAATTGCGATAGTAATTCATCTATCGATAAACTGAACTTTTTCAGAATAACGCGATATCTTTTTTAATTTTAGAGTTACGTTCCGTTCTCTCGAGCTAAAAATTCTTCTGTGCCATGCTTCTCTTTCAAGAGAAACTGAGAGCGGGAGCAGTCCTAAAATTATTTCTCTTATCGGTCAATCGGCAGTGTCCAAAATATGTATATGTATTTATATATTTCGTAGTTATATGTGCCCACATATATACATATACGCGGCACATATACGTAACAGTGACAGACGAGATCGAGATCCATATCGGAAAAGACAAGACAGGCCTCTGTTCTACGTGAGGAATCTCTGGTCGTTCTCCAGTCATCCTCTTCTTCACCTTAGCGGATATGAGCCGTGAAGTATAGGTCTTCGTCCTGTTTCATTGCCTCCTCTCATTCTCTTATAATAAGCAACAATGGAAATTCCTCTCCACCACGTTCATGTTATATACGAGAAGATTAGACCTTCGTCGTGCCGTGCCCGCCCGTTATCTAGCTTTAATTACGCGATTTTATCGAGGAAAGTCTTAAGCCCGTTTGTCGGATCGTCCACCGCCCGAATGTGACGAGACGAAATAACGCGACGCGAAATCTCCGCGATCGTTACGAGGTTCGTAAATAACTCACGGGTTATAATTCTGTTAAGATTGATAACGAGTTACATGGTCTCATCAATGTCGGTTAGCGTTAAGATTATCTACCATCAAACCGGGCGCTGCGAAACGGCCATAATTATTGCTCCGGGCACGGCATTATTATTCATGCTATTGTCACACACCCGTGGAAGGCTGCTCGCCGCCGTGCAACGCGTACTTGAAATTCGCTACGCCGCCGGGTTTGCACTTTAAGGCGGCCTACAATGGTCAAAAGTGGATTTCGCGACGAAGTCGAATAGACCGATTACCGGTTAGGTGCGAAAATGCGATCGCGATTCGGATATCGATATTAGTCGATCTAAAAAGACTCGAGCGTAGCCCTGTCAGTTTTTTCTTCTCTCTTTTGGCGACTAGATCTTTTTATTCATTTAGCCCCAGCTGCGATGCGAATTTCGTATGCGATCCGCATGCAGCGTTGCATCGTGTGCGATCACATCAATCTGCATACGGATTCTCCCGGTCTTTCCTCCACCTCGTCCATCCTTCCTCCGTTCCCTTCCACCTTATCTTGACGTTTATTTTTCGCCTTTGTTCTTTTCTTTCCTCTTTCTTTCCCGGTCCTCTTTCTTCCCTTTTTCTTTCTACGTCTATTCACCGTATTTCGTACGTTTCTACCTTATTTCGCTTTCCCTCCTCGTCGCGATCTCGTCTCTTTTGTTTGCACCTCGCACTTTCGGACATCCGCGAACCTCCCACGAACCTCCGGTGGTTCCTATTAAATCCGCTGGTATTGTATTCAAATTGGTTCGCGTCCTATCTCCACCTCCGCTCGTCTTTGTCATCCGCGTCGCTCTTTCGACCGCTCATCTGGTCGCTCTGTCGCGAATCGTCGCTCATTAAAAGATCCATTAACGGGTAGTCAGTACTTCGTATAATATAATCTTAATTCGGCACAGCATAAAACAACCGCATAATTTTACGCGTCAATTTTCTATATACTTAATATACCCGAAATAACCTGCAAGCTATACTTTTCTTTCTTTGATTTTTATATTTGTCTCGTGAGATTCCATCGTCGCGTCTGATTGCCGCAAAATTTTTTTTCACGTGTCGGTGCCTCGAACCGCATCAGGCGACGCCAGGGAAAAAAAATACAGTTCGCTGGGCCTTTCGTCCCGAGAGAATGAGCGCGTCCGTTAATTCGGCAAATTCGGCCAATTGCGTAATTCCGAAAAGAGTCGTTGACCGTCTGGACGCCGCGCCGGGTCTTGGGTGGTGCGAAAGATGAAAAAAAATTCACATCGGGGGCTGCGTGCGGACGATCAAAGAAACAGGGGGAGGAACGGGGGGAGGATGATGCGCCTCCGCGCGCGCGCGCACACACACACACACACACACACACACACACACACAAGAA